AGCCACCAGACAGCGTTCAGAAGGCTTTTTACGTTTGCAGCAGGGTTCGCCGGTGAAAGTGTAACACAACGAGGACCCGACCTACCAACGACAGCGGGGATTCACGCCTTTTACTCCCTCAGCAGCAGTAGCAAATACAAAGGAGAGGGGGTAGGTCCCTGTTCATCCAAACCAGTTGTCCCGGCCCGGTCCTATCAACCCCGGCCCCTAAAAACAAGTGGGGTGGGGTCCAAAGGATGCAATCCTCCCCTAGCAGCGCAAGGCTACCACGGGGCCCTCCCCCCCCCTCCACCATCGGCATCCGACATTCGTTCCGGCAAGAAGGAAGAAAAGAGCTGCAACAAGGATAGTGAAAGGAATCAATGCGCCCCCGCGCTATTGATTTTCGCTACATGCAGTAGGGGAGTAACCCCACACCGAGATCTGAATGATTCCGACCCTAATCAGGGGCCGCTATGTCGGATTGGGATTTGTCAGTGTCTAGCGTGTGATTGCATGATAGTAGATAAAGTCCACTATGTACTATAGCGTGGGTCTAGGTAGCTCTATTCGGTGCTGTCGGGATCGCGACAACCCCCGTGCCAGAAGCTGGTCCTTGAGGCCTTTTTTTTTTTTGTTTTGTTTTTATGTGCTCCTTGACCTCGGGTTCCCACAGGGGCGTTGATGGAGGGGTTGATCGTTGATCGTTTGATTGTTCTTCCCCTCGCTCTTTGCCCCTTTTCAGCGCCGGGGTATCTCTCATTCTGTATAGCCTATATGTGACTACTGTCTACTTTGTCAAATGCCAAATTCTAACTCATCATATTCGCACGGACAAGCAAGCAACCCAGTGGAGATCGAAGCTTGGGGGAATGCACAAATAGCCAAAGGTCTGATTGATTTGACCTATTTAATTTCACCAGGAGGATAGATCACTCGTGGTGTAGAATAGCCGACCTGTTTCGCAATAACATCTACGAATCTAGAAAACAAATGATAGTATCTAATATCCATGAAAATTGGATATATAAAAAAGCCACATAGATCAAATCACAATTCATCAAACATAGTGGTATCCGCATAAACAAAACAAATGCCAACATCAACAATCATATGAATCCAAAATCAAAATGCTGTCTATTCGTCGGTGTCACAGGAGTCTGCATCTCGAACTGAACCTCTACGTCGGTCGTGCGCCGGATGATGAAGTTTTTCTGGGAATCGCGTGCCGCAGCGTCATGCCGCTTGCTGATGCTAGTTGAAATGTGCGAGCGTTTTGTTCCGTACCATGAGGAGGCTTCCTGAGACTGAGAGGATTTTGTGTTCCAGTTGCCTGTTGTGATGAAGTCTAGGAGAGGGCGAAGGCAGGGGATGCAGCTTGCGATGACGACCATGTTGGCTTCGATGCTGTTTCGAATACTGATTAGAAATTTGTTTGACTAAGAAGGAAAGATGGAAAGGTTGATTGCTGGTGTACCTTGTCCAGAGTGCTAGGGAGACGGTGCTGTCTATATTGGGGTTAGTTTTTGCTCTTCTTAAACTCTATGGGAAGGCGTACAAGTAGAATCACTGAGGTTGGCGAGTGTTTTGAGTTGGATGCATTTGACGACCACAACCCCTGCCGCGCTGAATATCTTGTCAGTACACATTTCCATCTGATGAAGCTGTCCCTATGGAAGACTCACCAGAATCCAAGTCCCATGGTGACACTTAACCCTATCTTCTTACGCAGAGACATCTTCAAACCGAAAAGAACGAAGCTTGGGAATACTGCGAGGTAACAATCGACAAAAACAGAGAGGGCTGCATCAACAATTGTCAGTATTTATTGACATGCAGCAATCTACTAAATTTCTGATAAAGCAGAAAATGAGAAAACGTAAAGCTTACCACTTGTGAACGTAGCATAGTTGATCAAAATCCAAATATCCCTGCAAGTTGCCTCTCCAGTCGCAACCATGGTGAACTTCCAAAGCGCTTGGATTGGATCACACATAGTCACATAAATGAAGATATTCACAATACCTACCACGGCCAGCCCACCCACCAGGCCCCAGATGATGCAGCGGTTGAGGGTTCGGGGAAGCAGGAGTCGGTCGAGCAGAGCGGCCACTGCGATCTTAGGGAAGACGAACGAGACTATTCCGAATACAAAGGCAGCCTCGTTCCACTTGAGGGCTGTCTGGGCATCTTCAATCGGTATTGATGCTGTGTGCCGCCCGTAACCTAAGGACACAGCTTTTGTCGTAAGGGCGCAGTACATCCATCCCATGACCTACACAACGGCGCACGGCGCATTAGTCTGGGCAAGAATAAGTGTTGGGCAAATTCAGCAGACTCACGATAGATATCATAATAATCCAGTCGTCTGGACCCGGATTTCGTAGCACGTGGAGCCGAATATAAAGACGCGCAAAGACGCAGATACTCGCCAGGCCGGTGAACACCCACATGACGGCGAGCGCCATGGGCCCCAAGTCCTCCTCATCGTAAGCTTTGGTCCCCATTGCGGATGACATCTTGGACGCTGTAATCAGTGATAGTCTGTAAGTAACGGAAGACCAAAGAACTGCAAGCGATGTGTGGGGGGGTCTGTCTGGTCAAGTTGGACTCCAAGAGTGTGCTTTTCCCAGGACCCTGTGGAAGAGGGAGTGAGTTCTTTATCATCCAACGGTATGTCAATTCGCCACGCCAACGAAGATGAAGTTATCGTGTGAATTGGCCCCGTCTAAGCTAAAGCAATCCTTTGCTTCGTGCTTCACCCCGAGGGGCAATGGCTGAGCACACCGGCGGAAGAAGCTGCATGTACATCACACCGAGAAAAAGGGAAAATCGAAAAAATCGGCCCGATCAACACGCAGGAAGAGGCTGGGACGAACACCAGGCCCATGTTTTGAAGACGAAGGATTCGAGCGGAGCGGACTACAAACCCTTCCAATCCTGAAGAGCTAACTTAGTGAGGCAGCAGGATGGTGGGGGGGCGTTAACGCCCCGAACCTTGCCCTAATTGTCCCTCCCCCTCGGTTCCTGGCTTTGTAGGGGGAAGGTTGATAAAGAAGTTGATTGAGGTCGATTTCCACCTGCTATCTATCTTCTATTCACTTTCTCTGAATTTACTGTTCTATTAATTCTGTTTCTCTCTAGTACTTTCCTTAATTCGATTCAATACAACATGGCAGACGGCCCCGCGGTTACGGCCCCCAATGCGCCCGAGCAACTCGCCTCTATTCTACAGGATATCAACAGCTACAGTGCAGCATTCAACAATGGGGATGCTAATTCTAGACTGGGGCTGGTGGCAGCAGCTCAGTCGCTACTTCAAGCAATGGAAACTCCCCAGGAGACGATACTCCGATATATTTGGGCGCAGGTATGGTTTTTCTTTTACTCTTTCTCTCTCATTCCCGGCCTTTGTCTACGGTCTATGTGATACTGACGGTGGTGCTTGATAGCCTGCTACCTTCGCAGCAATTGAGACCTGTATCAATCTGAACATATTTGCCTTCATTTCCTGGAATAACAGGTCAAGGTCTGTGGCAGACTTGGCTGAGGCGACAGGCGCGGATCCAGAAGTGCTTGGTGAGTAGGATGCGTAGTCTCAACATTGGATCCAGTAACTTAGGGCTGGAGATAAGGCTAACCCATCCAGGACGGCTGTTAAAACACCTCGGAGCTGTGGGCGTCATCATCGAAACAGGGTTCGATGAATATCGGGGAACACGATTTTCCTCCACTCTAGCTATGCCCCGATACAGAGACACATTCCCATGCATGTACGTCCATCCAAACCCCTTACCCCTGATAACCCCAAACCAACACCATAAAACCCTCTAGAACCGGGAGCACCCTACCCGCAATCCTCGCCATCCCCACCTGGCTCAAGGAGAACAACTACCGCAGCCCAACAGAAGGCACAAACTCCCCCTTCAACGTAGGCTTCCAAACAAACAGCCACTTCTTCGAATACCTCCAGACCAAAAACCCGCGCTACCCCAACCTCCCCGCCCAATTCAACTCCCTCATGTCCACCTACCACCACGGTCGACCCAGCTGGACAGACGAAGGCTTCTACCCCGTCCAAGAGTGCCTCATCGACGGAGCCATCACCGAGCACAACGACGCCGTCTTCCTCGTCGACGTCGGCGGCAACAAAGGCCACGACCTAGAGCGATTCCACGCCAAATACCCCAGCGCGCCAGGCCGACTCGTCCTGCAAGACCAGCCTTCCGTGCTCGCCGACCTCTCCAGCAGTCACGGTACCAAGCCGTTCGAGCCCATGGCACACGACTTCTTCACGCCGCAGCCCGTACGTGGCGCGCGCGCATACTTCCTGCACTCTGTGCTGCATGACTGGAATGACGAGCTGTGCGTGGCGATCTTGCGCAATTTGGCAACGAGCATGACGCGCGGATATAGTAGGCTGCTTATCTATGAGAATGTCATCCCTGATACGGGGGCGCACTGGCAGGCTACGTCGCTGGATCTCGTCATGATGGCTGATGTGGCGGCTAAGGAGCGTACTGAGCGGCAGTGGGTGGAGCTTGTTGGGTTGGCTGGGCTGCGTGTGTTAAAGATCTGGACTGTGCCGTCTTGTGTTGATGGGTTGATTGAATGCGAGCTTGTTTGATGGTCAATATGGAGCTATATAATGCCTGACTGCGCCATCGTGTTTATTTTGATTTTTATTTTCTTGTTTGTTCTTCAGTGTATATTATCAGATACAGCCTTTAATTAGTATCATTGTTAAATGAAATGTCAATATACCCTGGTGGTAAAAGCTCGGCGTGCTGAGTGTCACCTGCACTCACCAGTGATTAAGATTATTGTGCTATGGGTTGTGCTTCACATTGTATTATATTGTTTCAAAGACCATATATTAGTTTCTTTGAATTCATTATCCAAGTAATTCTAGATGTTTGGTAAGTAAAGTATAATCAGGTACTGTAAGAAATTGGTGCCATTTCATAGAAAGACTTCTAGTTGAATATCTAACACAAAAGCAGATGTTCCAGTGTATGTTTGGGGTAGTAGCTCAGTGGTAGAGCGCTCGCTTTGCACGTGACTTTTCACCTGTGTTTAGTTCATGAATGCGAGAGGTCCAGGGTTCAATCCCCTGCTGCTCCATTTTTTTTTTTTTTACTTTTTACTATTACTATTACTATATACACATATCTATACACATATCTTTGTCTGGTAAAGAAAACTCAATGATCTTCTCAAATATTTATATCCTATCAAAAGGGCTCCATAATCAAAATGATAAACGTGAAACACCAATTTCAATGATTCTATCGTGTTCATGCTCATAGTGGAAGATCTCCCTACTGTCGATAGCACGTGAGACATTGACCTGCAGAGTAAGCTGATCGAACATGATGATCATAGATGGCTATGTATATGATCATGTTATAGTCATACTATGCCCATGCTATGGTCATATCATATATAGTCCATAATAGGTATAATATAAATCAAGACCTAGCCAACTGCCCCAACGCCTCCTCCCCTTCAACCATCATCTTCAACCACTCGTCCATAGGCTTGGCCCCCATCTGCTTATAAAACCCAATACTCGGTTCATTCCACGTCAACACGCTCCACTCCAGCCTCTTCCCCTTCGCCTCCAGCACCTGTCCCGCCAACCACCGCAGCAGCCGCGTGCCGTACCCGTGCCCGCGCGCCTTCGGCTGCACGTACAGATCCTCCAGGTAGATGCCCGGCGCCGCGCGCCACGTCGAGTAGTTGTAGAAGTACAGCGCCATGCCGACTGGGATGGGGGTTGGGTCGGTCGCCGTCGCGGGGGGAGTGACGAGCGCGGTGTAGACGGAGCCCCGCTTGGGGGGCTGCCCGGGGAAAGAGAGCGTTGCGAGGAGGGATTCTTCGGTGGCTTCGACTTCGTGGAGGGCCTTTTCGTAGTCGGCGAGCTCGCGGATGAATTGGAGGATGAGGGGCACGTCTGTATGGATTTGGGTGGGATTAGTGGGCTACATATATGTGTTTTATCTGTTGATTTCAAGCTTTTTTGGTAGCTTGTGTATGGTGTTTGAAGGTGGACTTGCCCTCCGGAGTGGCTAGGCGGATGGTAGGTTGGTCGGACATGTTGTGGTCAAGGTGTAGTTTTCTTCTTCTCAGCCTCTGTTGATCTTGTTGTTCTGAAAATGTTGTCGATGGAGAAAATCCAAGCACCCCACATGCTTTCCAGAATTTGAATGACAGATCCAGAAACCCCACCATTCTTGGCGCGCCCTGCGCCCTATACTTGTGCTTGTGCTTTGTATCGTGGACAGTGTAAGAAGAAAAAAAGAGATTAAAAAAACATATTATGTACCTATACAGTTTCAAAACAATATCTATGCACGTGAATGCAAGCAATAACACCAACTCTATCCATCTGACTTATTTCGAGATTGCCGCCATCCACTTTTGTTCATCCGTTCTGGGCGCAGTTAGTAAAGATCCACAAAGGGGAAGAAGCACATAAAAAAGATAATAAACATACCGGTCAAAATGGAGCAACATCCCCAGAACCGGGATCAGCTGCTTCTGGTAATTCCGGTCCTTCTGCTCCAGGAACTGCAGCAGCACATTCTTCAGATACATGTAATCGATCGTCCCGCTCGCAGTCGGCGTGTCACTGCCTCGAGCAGACGGGCTGCGCTCCATCGGCCCAGGCGAAAACATCCTCCGCGACCCGGAGTCCATCGAGTTTCGCGAGGGCGAATTTCGCCCGAAACGCGCTTCCTCGGTTAGCATACGGTTGGACTTGCGCAGCTTCTCCAGCCGCGCGTTGGTGTCCTCGACCGAGCGGCGTAGTTCGGATCTTTCCTTCTCCAGATCGCGCACTTGCTTTTCGCTCTCGTCTAGGGTGTCGCGCAGTCGGGCCATGGCCTCTCGGGTATCTGTCAGCTCTTGGGTGGAGTGCACCGACTGCTCCTCCAGCTGGTCCCGTCGGCGCTTCCATTCCTTCTGGGAATGCAAAAGCTCCTCCTTGTCCTCCTCGGCAACCCGCAACGCCTTCTCGGCATCCCGGACTTTGCCCTTGAGCTCCTCCAGCTCGCGCGCCCGACGGCGCCCCTGCGCACTGGCTTCGTCTTCGGCCCGATCGCGCTCCTCGATGGCCGCCTCCATGCGCTCCCGAAACTCGCGCACCTTGCTGTCCGTGCGGCCTTCGATGTCGTTCAACAGCCGGCGCATGGTCTCACCCTCGCGGGTTCGCTCACTCAGAAGACGCTGGGCATCGGCCAGCTCCTCTTCCAGGCTCTCGCACCGCTCCCGCGCCTCCTTCATCTGCATGCCCAGTTCGGATCCCTGGTCCCGCATGTTGTTCATCAGGCTCTGGGCGCTGGCGTGTTGCGCGGTCTTCAGCTGGATATCCTCCCGCAGGCCGTTCAAATCCCGGCTAAGTTGCGTGGATTTCTGTTCCACTTCCTTCAACTTATTCCGGGCAGTCTTCAACTCGCTCTGGGCCTTGGCCAGATCCGCCGCAACCTTCTCCTTCGCCTCCGTCGCCTCTTGCTTCTTGCCCTCCGAGTAACGCAGGTCGGACTGGGCGATGCTTAGCTTCTCCTCGGCCTTCAACCGACTATCGGTCTCCTGTCGGATCTTCTTGTTGAGCGTGTTCACTTCGTTGTCGCGATCAGATATCGTCGACTTGAGGTTCTTCAGCTCCGTTCTCAAATCCTCCTGTCTGCCCTCGAGCGTTCGCAAGTCCGATGTCTTGCCCACCAGGGCCTCCTTGGTACTCTGGAGTTCCGCCGACTCATTCCGCAGCTTCTTCAATTCGGGCTGCAGCTTCTGGACAGTCTCCCGCAGGTCCGTAAGGTCCTTGAATCGGGTTGTGGCGAGCTGTTGGGCAGCAGAGAGTTCGGTTTCCATGGTGGTGAATTTCACTTTCAAGCTCTCGTACTCGCCCTTGAGGTCACTGTGCGCCTTCTCGCTATCAGCGCTGGAAGCGCTGCTGGTACGCAGGTCAGTCAGCTCCTTCTCTGACTTGGAGATGGTCTCCTCCAAAGCATTCTTATCGGCCGTGAGCTCCTTGATCTTATCTTTCGATTCCACGTGCTCTTGACCGATGTTAAGGAGGTCATCGCGAAGAGAATCGATCTCTTCCTTGAGGTCATCTTCCCCTTTGAGTTTTGAACTAAGGCGGTCAATGGCTTGTTCTTTCTCTTCCAACTGCTGCGTCAGAGCTTCAATCTTCTGTTCCAAGTCGCTCGAGTCCGAACCGGCCGACTTCGTCTCCGTCGCAGGTGCTTCCTCCGCTGGAGCCGGAGATGCCTCTGCGGGCTTACTGGGTTCGTTGCCTCCTTGACCACCCTTCTTCTTCTTCTTATTCTTCTTTTTACCACCTCCGCCGGCAGCACCTGTAGAGGCAGCCGGCTGGCTGGCTGGCTCGGGAGCCTTGGGTTCGGGGGTTTTGGTGGTGGCTGGCGTCTTCTGCGCAGGAGCAAGACTCTCACGCAGGCCATTGAAGTCGGCCTTCTTGCCACTCGCGACCTGGTCCTTTGCCTGTTTCCAGGTCGTGTTGTCCTTCATGTTGCCGTCAAGGAAGGCGACGATATTCTGCAACTTGCCCATGTTCTCCGTCTTCTGGTCCACGTCGGTCTTAAGACCCGACATGGTCTCCTGCGTCTCCTTGAGCTGAGATTTGAGACTGTCAACGAGGCCCTGGACCACGCCGAGGCGCTTCTCATTTGCGTCTTTCTCTTTCTTCATCTCCTCGAGCTTAGACGTAAGTTCCGCCTGTTGATCGGCAGTTTCAGACTGGGAGGCCTTCTCGCGAAGCTGTTCGATTTCGGTCGACTTCTGCGTCAGTTCAGTCTTCAAACTCTCGACTTCGGTGTTGGCTTTTTCGACGGCGCTCTCGGAAGCTGCAAGCTTGGTTTTCAAGTCGTCCACGTCTTCTTGTCTAGCCTTCTTCAGCTTCTCAATTTCCGCGTCTTGCTTATCCTTGTTATCGCGCAGGTCCACAAGCTCCCTAGTCGCAGATTCCAGATTGATGACCATGCCCTCCGTCGACTCGCGTGCCACGGACAGGTCGCGCTTCAGCGACACCGCCTGGGATTGGAGTTTTTCGACCTCTTCTTGCTTCTGCTTCAATTCTGACTCCAATCGCGGGACCTCGGCGTCGAAGGAGAAAAATTCCTCGCTCGCTTCCTGCGGTTCGGAGGCTTGAGCAGCGGGCTTATCGGCGTCATCCGACGATGTTTTCTTCGCTTCTGGGGTGTCCACAACCTTCTGATCGCCCTTCGCATCATCGTCATCCTTGCGACTCTTTTTGAGTTCGTCGACTTCGTCCAACGCAGCCTTCTTGGCCTTCTCGGATTCTTCGTATTTCTTCTTGTAGTCATCCCTCTCGGTCGTCACACGCTTCAGCTCCTCCCCAACCATGTCACTCTTCAAGGAGATCTGATTCAAATACTCCGTCAAAGCTTTAGGGTCTCCGACGGAGGTCAGGGGCGTGTTCTCGCGCAAGGCTGCTTCGAAGGGTTCGATCGACAGGACACGCGCATGGGCCGCTCGGTACGCTTTCAGAAGATCTGTAACAGAAAGTCATTAGATTCCCAGATCCCTGATAATTTGCGCAACCCCGTAACATACCCTGATACCGAGCTTCCATCTTGGTCAGCTTCCTTAATTTCACCCGAACGTCAGGGGGGAGTTCCGCGGGGGCGGCGGGTTTATTGGCCTCCGTAGCGGGCGCCGTCTCCTTCCCCGCCGACGATGAATCCCCTACAGCCGCCTTTGCCTCCCCTGTGTTCTCCGCCGGCGCGCTTTCGGGGACATCAGCGGATCCCGGACGCGGGGTGCCCGCGGTGCTGGACTCGTCATCCTCTCCAATCGCAAAATCCGGCTCGAACTCGGTGGGATCGGGTCCCCGGACCGGCGTTCCAGTGTTGCGCCGGACCCGGGGGGGTCGTCGATTCGGGTCGGGGCGACGGGTGGAATTTGAGCGGGTTACGGCGTCCTTCTGGCGAGCTTGTTCCTCTGCAATCCGAGAGTCGATTGCGTCGCGGAGACGCTAAGCATGCCGTTAGCAGGTTTCAACATCATCCAATGCACCAGGATGGGGTCGGTGAAGCCGGGAGAGAGCTGGTGGCGGAGGAAGCCTTATCAGGCCTCTC